GATGTCATTCGGTAAATTAAGAAATATATTGATTAAAACGATGATCACCTAAGAATAATATACAATTGTCTTTCAATACTCACAAATAAGATTAGACAGATGGATTATCTTACCCGGTTCCTGATGTTATCGTCTTGTCTGCTTTAGAACAATGTATAAAGAAGAAATTACACTGTCCTCAAGTATGCCTAATTTTTGATCTGGGTGTAAAACTTTTGGGAGGAGATCTACCGACCCATTCATAAGTGGTAATCAAAACACAAAACCATTATATAGGTGCGTGGGTGCAATAAGCTGAACTTGCTGAACATACAGAAAATGCACGAGGCGAAATAGGATGGTCCCAAACACAGCCAATTGCAGGTAACGAGGAATCCACATAAAAGCCTGGGATTAGGGAACCTCGAGTCTGGTTAATGGTATCACACCTATAACGCGAACTATGGCCTACCCGCAACACACAACACCACATGCCTAAACCTGTGTCAACGGAGCATAATAAATTGCTAGTTTTCTTTGCTAAGGTTACGGTTGCTACTGCATCCACTTCAGTTTGTGCATCCCCTTCGCTCATCTGCAAGCATGTAATTTAAGCATAAATCAACCAATCAAATCATGCGATACCTCAATAAGGTAGCATGTCCTTTCTTTGTTTAGCATATTCTTGCGCTCTTTCGTAAAGTATGCCCTCTTGCTTTTACGATGTCTGCCAAGCCAGGAAGGACGAGATATCGGCTTGGATACATCGGGGTCGCAGGACTGTGGAAATTGTTTGTACGATTCAACAGTTTTGCTTACATGACGATCAATTCTCCTTCGGTTTTTGGTGAGAGTATTTCACGAATTCCTTCCAACCAATGTTACCTTCGAAATGAAAAGTCGTGTCATACTTGACCAGATTCTTCTACTGAAGTGAGCCATAAAGCGATCTATTGTGACATGAATTTCCATTCCGAAGGAAAAGTTGATTGGAAGGAATTCGTGAAATGGTCTAACTGGAAACCAGGGGAGAATCGACGCGGAGTGAAGACTTTTTGATTGTGTGATATAGTACTCGGCTCATCATCCTGTGTGCCCGATCAGCATAACAAGAATCCATACTTTACGAAATAGAGCAAAAATATACTAAACCAAGAGAAAAGTAAACCCTACTTTTCTTCATAGCCATAAAGCGATCTACTCTGCCCGATTGCTTAAGTCCGAGTCACCTGACAAATCCTGGACTTCCCAAGTCTATTCTCAGGTTCTCTCTGCCCCACCGACGCCCTCAGATAAGGCTCCAGTTCTGGACAGACTGGAATATGTGAAGCAGGATGCTCTTATGGTGGGTTTGAAAAAAATTAAACACACGCTAATGCATGCTCACGCACTGCTGATCTCTTATTTTCAAACAATGGGTCAAAACTGGTTGCATGTTGCTCACCTGCTGGAAGAGGTGGCTCGTCACATTCGAGATGAGATGAATGGACGCCATCACAGCCCCGCCTGACTGGCCGAAAAGTGTAATACTTCATGCAGCGTATGTGAAGTGACGTTTTCCGCGATGGTGTGGTATTCGGCCAACGGTTTTGTGATGTGCAACCGAGGCAGTCGGGTGGGGAGGGGATGAGTGAGATAGCGTAAGGTTTACATAATCCATTTTCTAACTTATACAATAAAGTAGTTGTGGTAGAATGAAGTTACTTACAATCGGTGTATGTTTCGAAAGTATCAGTAATTCTGTAATAAAATCTTCATCTTCTTATGCCACGTCAGAGGGCTTAAGCACTGATAGTGGGGTTTACCAAAGTGAAATCAGTCATTAAATCAACATAAAAGTGACCTGGGGCACCTAAATTGTTATTCAAGAACGACTGACAGTTTAGAAATATA